TTTCCAAACAAAAACCACTTCCAATCAATTTAAATTAGTTTTGAAAGTATTTTACTTATTGGAAACATTAAATTTTATCTATTAATTTGGAATTACAACTAAAATAAAAACTTTGAAAAAGATTTTTCATTTTTAAAAATTGATTTTAAACCTTAGATATCACATATCTGTTGTGGTGGTGAGGTGTGTGTGTGTATAAAATAAATATGAATATCAGTGTGTCACTGTGTCACACTTTTGCAACTTCAAGGCACACAATTCTCTAACTTTCAATAGCTCATTTCAAATGAAAAAAATTATTGTTCTTAAATTACAGTGTTTCAAAATAAAATTGTCCCTCTTTTCAACTTTACTTCTGGAGGCTGTAGCCCAACATACCATATCATTTTGGAATCAGGCTGACTCCGTCAGCAAAATTAAACACATTCCAGACCTGGAGCCCTGAAATTTTGGTTTCCCAAGTTTTCATTACTGCAACTGTTTTCAGTGATTTTTTGTGACAAATTTTTTTTTGTATGATAACAATTTTTATAATTTGGGAATAATTGAAATTAATTGTGAAATCCAGCAAAAGTCACCCATGAAATAAAATTGTTTGTACAGAAAGTAAGGCCCTACATACATCAAATTGTCTTTAAATTAAGCGGCAGCAGAAGAATTATCATTGATCTTTTATGATGTAATGAATATGCATACACCTGGGTTCCCCCTCACAGTAATATGATTGGCTGGTGTCAGCCATAAATACAGACTGATGTGGAGGTACAGGACGACACCTATTGTCTTCACCTATTGCCTACTACTACTACGAGGACCAATCCATCACGGTTACCTGCTAGATTGTCCTACCCGGTTACAGTAGTCAACAACCACATTGCTACTTCGAACAAATATATCCCTTTCTGGGACATATCATTTTAAAAAGTAAACTTAAATATTAATGCAATACTTAAATGCAGCAATCAATTTTTAGTTCTTCTATTGTTTATTGTTGCCTATAGCAATTACTCCTCCCTACCTATTATGATGAAGACCCAATCAAGAGCCCTCCGCAGGTATGTAATAATTACATATAGAGTATATCTGTAAAAGGACAGCATGAATAAAGAAAGACAAAAGGAAAACTTATCTTAGCTGGCATATTTCCTCTTCTGTGGGACTTTATCAAGGCAAATGCAATGATTTTATTTTGTAACAAGTATTTATATCAGTCAGTCAGTTAAGTGCCACACGTGATACATGCTTGGGTGATCATGTATCTTTTGATACATGACTGGCAAAGCAGTAGATTTTTCCTGCAATACATTGCCTATTTCTTTCTGTGGTAGACTGGTTGCCAACCAAGGCAAAAGAACCCAGTTTGTCCTGCTATTCAAACCATAGCTTGGAGGAAAAGAGATGGATTCATACTGTTCCCAAGGATATTTGTGTATAAGTGAATATAACAAACTCAATTGGGATTCAAATTCAGTTCTCCAAGTTCTTATTATGAGCTGATATCCATTACTCCACAGCGTACATCCATTGTACACAAGCAAAAATGTTATTGGTTTTACAAAATTTTTGAGTTTATGAACACTCATAAATATTCATCAGGTTAGCTGCAATGTCAAGCAAACTATGGGGGACACAAAGTGATACAATTCAATTTTTAATAAACAAAAGAGCATAAGTGAAGTTTTAGAATTGTGCAAATTAGTATTTAAATTAATTTAGTTTTGGATTAATTTATGTGTTATATATTTTGAATAAAATGAGATCATGGGTTTAACCAATTTCTTTTTTTAACATTTTTGTCATCATGTATATTGGCTTGGTAAAGTAGTAATTCTTTCAGGAATGAAGATATTGAGAAAAACCTGGCATGTAGATTTATATTTTGATAAAATTCAATAGTGGTGCTCTTGAGAATTTTCTTTCTAAGTTACTTTCTCTTTTGATAAGTGTGGCATTCTTTAGATCAAAGTTGTAATTGAATTTATTTCTATATATAATTAATACATTTGATAAATTGTTCTGTATAACATCCTTTTTGTGTTCATAAATACGTTTTTTTTTAAAATAATTTCTGCAAGTTTCCCCAGTGTATTGTGAGGAACAATTCTAGCAATTTATTTTATATATACCCACTTCAGAATGATTATTGTTATAGGTATTTTTGGTTCTGATCATATCCATAATACTTTTGGATATGGTTGTAATTATTTTGATATTGTTTAGATTGGATAGGTTGTTTTAGATAGTGGATGTTATGAGGTTAGTTGGTGGTGGTATTATTAATTTTTTTAATTTAGTTTATTGTTGTTACTAATGTTGTTATCTCTTTTGTAGTTGTATATTCTGTATGCCTTTCTCTTAGCATTGTGAAATAATAAGGATATTGGAAGTTTTTGAAAATGTTTTCTGTGTAAGTATTCTGCAGATTCTTAGTGGTCTTAAATAGAATCCTATAATTATGCCTGGTTTTAAAAATTGACCAGGTCATTCTTGTTGGTAGCTTTTCTGTAAAGCTCAAACTGAATTTTTTTTATTATTTCTATGTATCATGATATCTAGGAAGGGTAAAGTGTTGTTAGATTCAAAGGTAAAGTCAGTTATGGATTCAATGTTATTTAGTTTGTTGACAAGATTGGGTAAAATTATGTCTTGTGAATATATTAGTATAGAATCATCTATGTATCTGAAGTAATAAGAATCTAGTGGTAAAATGTATTTTGTTTACTGATGCTCTGAATAATAAAACTAAGAATCTACTCAACATGTATTAATCAAATATTAATTATCTACAATTTTTTTTTCAAAATTGCTTCCATCCTTTGTTTCACAAATGTTCACCATTTTCCTTCATGGTTTTAACTCTGTGACCTGTGACTATGCAAACATGAAATACTTGATTCAATACAAAGAGTGATATTTTAACATTTTTTTAGAAATCATATTTTTACACAGCTACTGATGAAACTTTGACAACTATTTTGAAGAAGATACTATTTATTTTACAATTTAGCATGCCTACAAATTTATGTTCTTAGTAAGACATAAAAAGTGCCACATACTGCAACTTAATTCTTTTAGTTTAATTTTCTTTTAGTAATACTTATACATGCTTATTAGTTTCTTTTTATATTTTCTTGATTCTTTTAATAACTGCTATACTCACTGATAAAAATTGAGTTTTTAAGAGGCTCCCCACCAAAATATTACTTTCAAATAAAATAAGCATATGGGAAAAAATGGGGGAAAAATTGAATTAGCAAGAAAATGTTGAAATTATGAGACTTAAAAATATGAATGCTCAAGTCAAAGGTCTGGTAGATTTACTTAATCTTTTTATAGTTTAAATATTTGCTTTGGTTTTGAGCTGTCTTAACAAATTTATATTGTCTACTTGCTCAATTTGCTAACATTGTAAATAAAATGCTTGCCCAAAAATAATGTTCAAAAGTAATTTTTGATAAAACCATTTTAGACAGTTAATAACTTGGTTTTCTATAACAGAATATTTCCCCTAAAACAAAATGTTTTTAATTAAACAGTATCACATTGATCTTTTTAAGGCTATGTCATCATGAATCTCTTGCCCAGAACTGGAGGCTTATCTCAAATCTCATCATTCCACTGAGAGCAAAAATTGTTTTAGTTTAAATCTGAGTTTGCAGTGGTTCACTGCTGTAGTTGGTTTAAGAACTTTTGCTTTTTACATTTGGAATACCTTTAGCTTATTTAATATGTATTTTATTTCCTTCAGACTTGCTATATTATGTTTGCAAAAACAACCATTATTTTTGTGTGAAATTAACTAAAAAGAATATAATTTAAGAATCCTGGTCTTTTTCACTTGAATTTAATATTCTTCTCTATGAAATTTTTATTAATAAAAGGAAATACACTAATGATCAACTTTATTTTTGTGTAATCTGTGTTTTTAACAAATGAAAAATGTATGTTGAATTTTTACACTTGTTATGCTGACATGTAACATTTTAATTTTACTTGATTTAAAGAAATAATTTTTCTTCAAATCTGTTTTTAGACTGCAAAATTTATTTAAAAATGCTATTATTTGTTGCATAAATTTAGTATTTTCTCAATGATATTGTTATTCATAACAACAAATATATCAATGACAAAATTTAATTTTTGTGAGTAATTTATGTTTTTCTTTCTAAAATGTATTTAAAAAAGTATTAAAAAAAAAATTAACATTTGAATAATTTACATTACAATTAATTTAAAATTCATCTATATGATAAAAAAATCAAATACATTCTTAAAGACAAAAATATGTCCTTTGTGGGCTTCAATATATGCAAACAAGTTACTGGCAAGTAAATGAAATATATTCTTTGGATATTTATGCCATATTTTGAAATATAGTAATTTTCTAACATTCTTTAAAATATTCCTTGTAAAATTGAACACTAAGATAATAGCAATTCAAATATCAATATATAGCCAGGCTTCTTTCAATATACTTAGTATTTTTTTTAATTTTTAATGCCCTGTCACTTCACTACATGAGTGGTCATGGCTCCCCAAAGTTTCAGTTTATTATAGCTGTTTATAAATATCCTTATTAATACAAATCTTTACATTTATTGTTATTTAGTTTATAAAAATAAAGATTTAGTGCAGTAAAACAAAAAAGACAATAAATGAATACAAAATAGAGACAGAAAAAGAAGCTCTTGCTTTCTTTAAGATTTTATCTCTCAATGATTTCCAAAAACTGCTTCAAAAATGTTAATAGTACTTGGACTGGATCCTAGAGCAGGAAAGAGGAAAAATTAGACAAACAAATGCTACATAAACCTCCTCAATTGCCACACATCATGTTCATGTAATGAAAAGACTACATAATCAGGGTTAACTTCTTCAAAATACTTTCTCAGAGATAATATTTACAGGAATTCTCTTCTTTGAGAAAACTAAGAACAAAATGACAGCTGAAATGTAAAGGTTCCTTTCCTCCATGGTAAAGAGACTCCACTTAAAATTTATTAAAGACAAAGAAACCAAAATAAAAATAAATAAAAGAATGAGAAAGGAAGAGAGAATTTGGCTGACCTGTATTCCTCTTCAGGATATTCTATCACTTTGAGAACATTATTTTTCCAAGCTTCCAATTCATCAAGCTCAAGTTTAGCCTCTATAGCAGCTAAAGACTGTTCCGGTTTGATCTGCAAAATGGACATAAAGTGAAAACATGATAAAGAATTAGATGAACATAGTTCAAGACAAAGGAGGAATCAGAAAGCTAAACAATTAAAAAGAAAAGTACAACAGATGCATTTGACAGACTAAAAGGTCCTTTCTTCAAATTCAGTTTGAATATTTCAGTTAAGTACTAAAATCAAATTTAAAATATTCTTTTTGTCTAAAGATTAAAGTTAATTACTCAGTATTATCAAGGAAATATCTTTGCCACTATATTTGCTTCAATAATGATCATTCAACGCAAGATGATCCTCACATTTTTTCCAGCTACTAATTTAGTATCTTTACAAAGACAGAAAGATAATACAACAATTTTATTATAAATCCAACAAACCTTTAAATTAGAGAGAATAGGAAAGTATTTTTTTTTATTCTTCTTCTTTCGAAAAAACATCAAAAAGAATGATTCAGTTAAGTCTTGGGCAATAGGAATATCATTTATAAAAAGTACAAAACTATTTGATTTCTGATAACTTATAATTTCACAAGTTGAGCCTCAGATACAATTATATATATATATATATATATATATATATATATAAAAATATATATATATATGCACAGCCGCATTTTTTGATGGTTTTGCACCAAAATTTACATGCACATGCTCCAAGTTAGCGGGAAGGCCAAGACCGACTTTGCATTTCCCAACTCCCATCGATATTGGAAATAATTGATTTTTTCATGCTTCTACGGCAGTTTTCATGTAGTTTGTGGCCATTTTCTACTGGCCAGAGTGAGAGCCTATAGCTGGCTGCCACGAATAGGCAGGAAGATTCTATTGGCCAGCGTGAGAGCCAACAGCTGACTGACACGAATGTTAACTAGCATGAAAAAAAAATCGATAGCTGCATTTGTCACAAGTGGGAAAAATTTAAATCTGCATGGCACTTTACTCCAATTGGCTCATTCGCTTGCTTAAACTCAACAATGATTCTGATTCTGCAGAACTGGGTTGAGTGTGAAAAAGTATTTGTTGTTAACATTCTTTTTTCATTCAGTTTTTCCAGTTATGAGTCCTTTTTTAAAGCTGATCGTTTTGTGTTCATTTTGTTTAGTTCTTTTTTCGTAACAGATTTAATGTTTAGTATAGATCTTAGAAAAAAATTGCAGTGTGAAATAGGCAAGAAGTAAGGCATGTAGCAAAATCAGCATGGCAAAGGGCACTCCTTTAAAGGCAAGGAAGGGCAAAAATATTTTAAGTCAAGTGATAGCAATTGTTGTATGAGTCGTACGATTTTTGAATCAAGCATGAGCAACGCCAGGCCATGCTGCTAATATATATATATATATACAGAGATTTGTGAACAGAATTATTCACCCCCACTTCCATAACTACAGATAAAGCTGTAATGCCTTTTCATGGAAACTTCATGAGCATTTTTTCATAAATTATAAAATAATGGATTTGAAAGAATGTGTAGTGATGCCCACAACATCTTTATTTTAGTGTCAAACAATACAAATAAACACCAAAATAACATTTAACATAAGACAAAATTATTGGCTCTTTTGCCTCAGTAATTAATTGTGGAACCTATCTTCTGGATTATTGCCTTTAATTGTTTTTGATAGTTCTTTACAAGATCACTACACACACTGATAGGGATATTGCTCCATTCTTCCTTGGCTATTGTTTCTAGTTCCAAATTTCTTTCCCTTACTTTTTCCTTCAAATATGCCCCTAAATTTTCAATGAGTTTTAGCCCATTATTTTGTGTGGGGTATGTCAATACCTTAATTTTGATGTCATCTAAGTATTTTGTAACAATTCATGCATTTAAGGTCATTATCACGTTGGAACATCCAGTGATGCCCCAAAGACAGCTTTTGTGCACTTTGTTTTATATTATTTTTAAGAATAACCAAATACTGCTCTTTATTTATGATATCATGTACTGTCACTAGTTCACCTGATCCTGAAGTAGCAAAACATACCCAGAGCAGGATACTCCAACCACTGTGCTTAATTGTAGGGAGGGTATGTTTTGGTTTGTGAGCTTCATTCACTTTCTTCGATACATAACGGGAGTTTATGTGACCAAATAATTCTAGTTTGGTTTCATCTGACTTACTATCATGTTCTAGATGGCTTCTAATCTGCATTTTAGGTGTTTAGCCTTAAGCAAGGGAGATTTCCTTTGGCGATAAGAAGTCCTGCTCAATGAAAGCATCTAGTCATCATCTTTATCAATATATTCGACCCTAATGTCTTTACATCATTGACAATGTCCTCTGTCATTAAGTGAGGATTCTTTGAGACATCTCTAACTATTTTCCTTTCCATTCTCTCAGAAGATAACCATTTTCTACCAGTCCTTAATTTATTCTCCACACAATGAGTTTCGTACTGGATAATGCTATGAATTGTCAATCTAGGAATAGTTAAATGCTTGAAAAGTGTTGTAGCTTGTTTCTATGCATTCACTATCTTCATTCAGAGCTTCTTTTCAAGTTCAGCCATTTTCGTCATAGTTGCAGAACAAATGAGTTATCACAGTAATATAGCACTCACATATTGTCTTCTTCATTATCTTTTAAAATGTTATAGAATTAGGTTGATACTATTTCATTTTCAAAGGGGTGGTCATATTAAATGTCAAATTAAGAAAAAAAAATGTTACAATTGCCATAGAGCAATATTACTTCATAATTTTGATGAGAGGGGAGCGAATAATTTGGGACTGCACCAATTTTTAGAAAAATCTGTAAATATGAATATAATAAATCAAAACTTCTAAAAATTTCACAAATTATTCAAAACAAAATATGGAATTTATGGTAAATTCAGTAAGTACTTACAAATATTTACATTTCTTTAGAAAATATGCAAATACTCACTAGAGGCAAAATAATTCTGTCCAAAACTCTTTGTATGTGTGTGTGTATATATATATATATATATATATATATACATACATACATGTGTGTGCATGTAAAAGTTCCCAGAATATATATATATATATATATATATATATATATATATATATATAGACAGATAGATAGAGGATTACATTTTTCATATATTTAGAATCTTATAAAATTACAAATATTACAATGGAAGTTATATTTAGATTAGATAAAAGATTTGATATATATATAAATGTAAACAAACTAATCAAATCAAGTAAATCAAGAAAGCTAAAACTCTTGTTCTCATTGCAATCAGATATTAAGGGGAACCTGAAAGTAATGATTTATTCAAGGCACAAAAATGTATTTGTGTATAGATCTCAAAATGAATATTCCAAAAATAATAATTTGCAAAATAAAATTGTTGTTTTATTATGGTTTTTCTTTTTTTTTCTTTTTTAACTTCCAGCCAATTTTCTCTAAACAGTTTAATTGGCATCCATTGTGTTGATTATTAGACAATTTATTTTCTATCAGCAATTTCCTCAAGCTTTTATAATTGAATCACTTTCATCTTTTTGTATTATATTTAAAAAAGCCAGAAACAATATTTTTTGTCATATCAACTGCTATTTGGATAGTATAAAAAAGAGCATATATTTTATTTTGAGAAAGATTTATTTCTTTATAAACAAAAAAATAGTAAGTAAATTAAGTAGATCAACATACAAGTAAGCCAATAAAGTATCACAAACCAATATCGGATTGAAATTTATCTTGCCTGCTTGGTTCCTTGGGAATAATAGAAAGACACTGAATCTCTACCTGGGAATCAATTAAGCATCTCAAGAAATAAAAATAACCAAATCTTACATTACTCTTTTTTTTTTTCTTCCTGTGCAAGAAATAATGAATAGAAACTTCCAAACAATTTTCCCTAAAGAGACAAGCACAATAGAATAATCTTTCATGTTATTACTGACAGGAACTTACAATTGGAGAACAAATAGAATTAATGTTAAAAGATATTTTTGCAATCATTCCCTGTTCACTGTAATGATTTTATACAGGTCGTAAATTACTGTTTTTCAAAGAATTAATAATTAACAAGCAATTGGCATGAAGTTGTTTACTTAAAATATAATTAATTTCTAAATTATATTACTTGTATCATGCAGTCATGAACCTTTATATAATGGCTATGTACTGCCAAATATGTTTTTGCAGTAAATTTTGATTCTTGAGTCAATTATAAAACATCAAATTTCATCTAATAGAGAAAAAAAAAAAAAAAGAGTACACACCAAAAAAATCTATTAAAAACATCAATATGGATCCTTTTTTTTTAATGCATAAGAAAATAACTCATTTGATTATAGGTGCCAAAGACTATTTACAAAGCTACAATTATCCATACATTTTGTTTTCTATTTTTATTTTAATCAATCATTTTGAAACTGAATAAAAAAAAAAAAAGACTGATTTATAACTTTAATAAGAACATTTTATAGGTTTATCCTGTACTATTATATAAAATAATTCAGAAAATATTGTAATAGTTGTCAAAAATTCTTAGAAAAGATGTTAACACCCATCAATGTACTTTAAGTATGAATCCAAGTAACAGTATTATCCAGCTGGAAAATATTTTGAAAACCATGCATCATGTTCACCTTGAAAAAATATTTATAAAATGATCATAATTTTTAAAAACTTCTATCTTGAACATTTGTATTTCTCAATAAATATGTTCTACAGACATAGTTATGGCACTGACAAAGAATATTTAAGAAAAGTTTCATAAATTTGTGGAAAAAGTATAAGATACTAGCAGTAGAGCCCGGCATTGCCCGGGGATGTAACAGTAAGAGATAGATCAAGTATCGACCATCATAAAGACTGAAAAACAAAATTGACAAAGATTATTGTTTAATGTTGATGGACACGCATGTCTTAATTGGATTTTTTTTTTTGTTTTGTTTTTTTACGAATTGGTCAAACCCAAACTCAAACGAAAACATTGTTTTCAATCGTTATGAGTTTACCGATTGAATAGAATTTTATTATAAACAATTGTCTTGTAAATGGAATTTTTAAAGCATTCTGAATGTAAAAATAAAGAAAAAAAGTGTGCAAGACAATAAGAAACACTACCTGCCCCCCAAAAAGTGAAGTTTTGTTGAAATCGGTTGAAAAATGTAGGAAATCTGATCCCATATATAAACGAACACACACAAACAACCTGGGTTTTATAATAAGTATAACTCGATATGAGTTGTCCCTCTTTCATTCCGCGAAAGCAATGCCTCTTAATCATGTTTTCAAATTGATTTTGTGCAAAAACAATTGTGTTTTTCCAATTTTTGGTGATGTCAGAACCACTGCAAGGTAATTTTACGTAGTCCTGTGAAGTTTAGTTAGAATCGGTTGAAAAATATAGGAAATCTGATCCAATGTATAAATGTACAGACACACACACACACACAACCTGGGTTTTATAATAAGTATGATATTCAAGTTTGATAAGATAAAGAATAAATAGGAAATGTTTATCAATCTAACATGTTTCACTTTTATTAAAGCTTCAGAGAAAAAGAAGAAAGGAATTCTGGTATTTTTATTTTTGTGTTGTTTGCTTTTCATTGATTAATTGATGAAGCTTTAATAAAAGTGAAACAGGTTAGATTTCCTATTTGTTCTTCATTTTATCATTCTGTCAGATTCCGATCTGTATTTGACCTCAATTCATATTTATGTGTTCCAGACAGAGATAGAAAAATAAAAGATGAGAAGACAGTCTAAAAGAACAGACTTTCTCAGTCACAAATGTATTAATTCATACCTGAAAGAAGTAGTTAGAAGCAAGTCCTGGGCCGGCAACCCTTCGAGCAATGAACCCATCATTAGCAGGAATCCTTCCTCGACTTTTGATGACAGTGTGAAACATGACGCTATCCCATAAACCACGAACACCTCGTCTTAGAATGCCAACTAGGGATGAAATTTGTTGGATACATTGTCATTAACACAATTTCAATCTATAATTTACAAAGATAAATATTTTCTCTGTTAATTATAAAGCAAATACATAACTTTAATAACTTTTTTTCATCTAAGTGGCTTTGCTTGGCATGAAATGATTAAAAAAAAAAAATACATAACTTTACATAATATAATAAATTTTTATTCTTGTCAAAAGAAAAATAATACTTTGGTATTCTGAATTGAAATGTTCAAAATATTTCAAAAGCATTAATAGTTTGTTTTCATTTTTGTTTTTTTGAAAGCATGAATAATGACCAAATACAAGTTTTAAAAGACGAAAGAGATCAGTAAAAGCACTTAATGTAATTGTAGAAGATGTAATAGAATACTTTTCTCAATGTGGTCAACTGAGGTGTATTTGATTATATGAACAACATATAATGGGTCATTTTCAGAGAAAATACAAGAAAGCACTTTTATCAGTGCACTTTAATTTGTATATTTTTAATATACATGTTTTATATCTTGTAAAAGATTTAATATCAAAGTAGATAAAAAGCATATACAGAATACAGAGATTTTTTTCAAAAGGTTTTTTTTAATCTCATACCCTAATAGGAAGCCTAAGTAAAATGTGTTTGAGAAAGTTTTCATAACAGCTTTTGTTTACTACAATAATACTGAATGGGTATCAATGCAATTAATCAAAACTAAAATTTAAATAAAATGCACAATTGTTTGCAGTATATTTGCTTTTTATACTTTCAGAGCAGAATTCATGAAAATGTATATGCTAAAAGTCAATTGTTAAATTTTAATACATTCATTTTCTACATATTAAAGCTGAATTATTAAGTCAAAGAAAATATAATTTTCAAATAGAATTTAAAATTTCTATTCAATCACTATAGCTCATAGGAATCACTTCTTCCTGGTGTTCCAGCATGATAGTTACAATCACAACAGAGGCCTATTTGTGTCTGCTTGCAATGGTTGTGTCCTCAAAGTGACTAAGTCTTTGTTTGCTGATAGAATGAGGCACTGTATAGTCTCTAATAGTTTTAGCTCTTGTGATTACTGGCAGTTCTGTAATAGTGTCTTAAATAACACTAAGTTTTCTATCCTTTCTCCCTTTACTCAATTTGAGGCATTAAAATCTACTGATGAAACAGAATGTCTGGCTCATGAATTCTCTTAAAATTCTACTCTCATCTCATCTGGAGTATTTTTGCCTGACTTTCCATACAGAATGGAGTCCCTATTGAATAATATGCATAAAACTCCATTCATGGTTTTTGCTATATATCTATAAACTGAATTTCATCAAAGCATGTGAATTTGATGGTATCCATGCAATAGTCCTTAAGAAATGTACTTCTGAACTGGCTCCTGTTCTCTTAAACTCTACAATAAGTGCCATGTTGCTTCTTGTTTTCCTGCTTGTTGGAAATTCTTTTCAGTAGTTCTTGTATTTAAGAAAACATCTGATCCTATTAGCCTTCTACCTCTTTTTGGTTAAGCATCTCACCTCACTGGGTTTTCTTTCCGATAAGCAATATAGCTTTTGATTCTCTAGGTCAAATACTGATGTATTAACAAGTATTGTTGAAAGAATCTGTCAAGAATAAGAATGATGAAGCTCAGGCTGTTGCTTTGGATACCTCAAAGGCATTTGACAGGGTTTAGCAGGCTGGTTGAAAGGTTATGGTATTTCTGGACAAGTTTTCAAAATGATTCAAACCTGCTTATCAAATCACAAAATGAAATTTGTCTTGAACAGCCAATCTTCTAGATCTTTTTGCATTAATGCAGGCACACCCCTGGGCTTTATCCCTGGACCTACATTCTTCCTATTTTTTATTAACGTAAATCTGATTGGTTTGACAAAGTCAAATTGGCAAAATGACCTACTTTCTGTTAACTCAGGCAAGGAATAGATTGTTAATTTTAACACCTCCAAAACAAAACTGCACTCTTTTAATCATGAGAGAACTCTTTCTGCCTTTCATTAGCATGGCTAATACTAACCTCCAGGAGAATGACTCACTGCACCTTCCTAATGCTAATATTTCCATGGAAAGATTATATTAAATCAATTGCTGGGTTTGCTGTTAGAAAAGTTGGTGCTCTGTGTTATGCTAGACAATTTTTCTCACCCAAATCTCATATATTTCCAAGTCTACCATTTGTCTAAGCTTAGAACATTGTTGCCACATATGGTTTGGTGCTCCTGCTATATTTTTAGAGATCCTTGATAAAATCCAAAGAAAAATCTGCAATGTCATTGGTCTTCAGCTTCAGTCACTTTCTCATCACCATAATGTAGCTTCTCTACCTTTTTTATAAATATTTTCATGGTAATTGTTCTGATGAACTTTCCTCTGTGAATTTAAACACAGTACTAGATTAACAGCAAGGTCTAATCATTTTACAGTTGAAATGGCTAGATGTAACTGTAAGTTTTATGCTAACAGTTTCTTTTCTCACACTTCTTGCTTCCAGTTCCTTGCTTTCCAAAAATTTAAATGCAATATCAATCATTAATTTCTGTCTTCTTAATTTCTGTTCTTTTATAGCTACTATTCATTAACAATGTTTTGCTTTTCATTAACCCCCTGCATGTTAGTGACTTTGTTGCTTTGCCTGGGGTGAAATGACTTAAAAAAATGTACCTAATTAAAATAAAATAGTTGTTATCTCATAAAAAATAACTATGACCTGTATAATTCATTTTTGGGAGGTCAAAAATGAAAACAAATTCATAAGAAGCAGCCACAAAAATGGTGTTAAATAATTGCTTAAAATTGCAACCTGAAATACGGTTCACAAGTTATTCATAGAATAGAAAAAATATTTCTAAGTATAGTGAATATGCTGTCTGAGGAAGAATTTCCCATCACAATTGCTTTATGATATTTGATACCATATTAAAGCAATATCTGGACAACCATCATCATGACTTTCTGGCTTCCTGCCCTGTAAATGACTTCTTTTATTTATTTTTTCAGTTATAACAAAACTTCAAAAGACAATCAGTTTAACACTCTACAATGACAGTCTCACCAGGCTTCAGCAATTTGTAATATACCAGTATATAGTATAGCAGTAAAACTTACCAAAATTTCTGATGAAACTTAAATAAAAGTGAAACATGTTAAATAAATGTTTCCTATTTGTTCTTTATTTTATCATTCTGTTGGATTTTAATCCATATTTGATCCCAATTCATAGTATACCTTTCAAATCCTAGCAAATACATAGCAATAACTTATTTTTCTAAAAGTGTTGGGTTTTGTTATCAATACTGCAGATTGTCCTGGGTCTACCTGGATTTTTGGCACTTTAGATTATCATAGTGAATCCACTTTTCATCTATAGTGACTATCTTCTTTTCTTTTATACTGAACAAGAATTGAAATGCAGGTGGTGAGAGACAGTCTAATGTTATGTGCTGACAATCCATGTTGAACCCATTTTCCTATGTTTTGAATCTTCTCTATAATTTACAAACACCTTTACAACTACTGAATAATCAACAGGTTTTTTAGTTAATTCCTATGCTGAGCGATTGTAATCATCAGCCAAAAGTGCATGCAAGTCAATGCTTGCAAATTCTTGTGGTCTACTACTATGTCGTTTGTCCTCCAAGTTAAATTCACCTTTCAACTTTGCAAACTATTCACAACATATAAATGCTTCCAACTGAATCATCTCCATTGACTTCATCAATTATCTTCTTCACTTCTGCTACTGTCTTATCTTGAAAAGAAATAGCATGCAGCATCATATATTTATGTTGTCCACCTTCAACACAAGATAATGAACACTGAGTACACAATTATCAAAGCCTGTGTATTGAGTCTAGTTTTTAAAAAAGAGGGCACTGGAAACATTTGCACATACCAAATGCATAAATTCTTAAAGGAGAAAAGGTTGATACTAAATTACGTTTCCATGAGCATTGCTGTTTTAGCAAAATGGGAAAAACTTGGTATCAAAATAATATCTCACAGTCCCTAAAAACCTTATTTTGCACTTGGTCATGTAAAATTAATCAAGTTTGAAAGTGCTAATGATAGATGAAGATAAATTTACTTACACAGAAGGCAGAATAAAGCTGCCAAGGGACAAAAGATGGCACCAAAGAGGACTGCAGCAACAGGTTGAATGCAACCTTGCAGGAAAATATGCCAGAGGATGGCTTCAAGTAAGACTAGGATTTTGTTGCCAGATACTTCTGAAAAGTAAAAATAATAATCATTAGATTTATCAACTAAATTATGCTGGAGATATATGCATGTGTGTGTGTATGTGGACAAAATAGAAAGATGTATACCATATTAGATTAACAATCAGAAGTTTATAATTATAGTTCTAGAGCAAAATGGAATCTTCTTTAATAGCTATGTAGTGCCAAGTATGTTCTTTTAAAAGTCTCTCAAAGGCTTCAGTCATAACTTATCCTGTTTTTTAAAAATATATGTATGTATTTTGTGCTAAATAAGTTTTGAATCATTTTATCATGGTCTTTATGTAGGTCTACAGACAGTGCCTTTATATGGATTAAAGAATTAAACAGAAAAGTTAATTGTATAATTACTTAACAAGTGTTACTTTTGTACAGAGGTAATATGACATTGCATATTTTTTATGTGCCAAGTGTGATACACACTTAGGCAATCATGTATCTTTTGATACATGACTGATGAGGTAGATTTTTTCCCACAGTAGGTTGCCATTTCTTTCTGCGGTAGACCAGTTGCCATCCAAGGCTATAGAACCCAGTCTGTCCTGCTATTTATCCATAGGTGGGGGGAGAAGAGGAGGATTCATACCTTTCCCAAGAGTATTAGCACATAAGTGAATGTAAGGGATTTAACTGGAATTCAAGCTCTCTGATTCCTCACTGCATAACAGAAGCATTTAATACTTTGAAGTCAGTTCTTTTAACATTAAAAAATAGAATAAGATCATCCTCTTGTTGCCTTAAAAATCATTTTGCCCACATTCACATTAGTTTCAGGTTATATCATAATAAAACAGCTAGCAATACCCACCTAAGCCTGGAGTAATATTTGATAATCTTTGATAAACAAAACATCAAAGATTATCAAATAATCCATAAACAAAATGTGAACAAAAAAAAGCTGTCTGTAATTTTGATATGTATTGGTAAGAATGATATGAGTAAAATAACAAAACAGGAAAAGTGTAACAAATATTTCATAGAACAAAATATAATTGAATAATCAAAACATCAAACAATATTAAATATCATTAATCTTTCAATTAATACAGGTGATAAATATTAATAAAAATGCTGTTAGTAAAACTTAGTAATACTTTACAAATATGAAATCTATGAATTTTATTGGTTTATCAGTTTATAATTCATGAAAGCAATGCCATATATTATATATGCAGTCATAAAAAAATGACCTTAAACTAATAAATACATTTTTATATAAATTGAATTATCTATCTTGAGGTGTATTTCATATCAGGTCCTTTTTCTGGCACATTATCAGTATAAGTGAAATCAATTGGTAACATTTTTCCCAATAAAGATTGAGGAACATGTTGAAAAAATAATTGAAATATGATATAGAAGTGACAACTTGTAAATTATAAGAGAATTTTCTCCACCTCAATTTCCCATATCCATAGAAACTTAGTTCTCTGAAAATGTTTGGGGATTTCAGGATCTACAAAATTTTTTAATTGTTTAAATAGAAAGTAACAATGTCAAAAGATCTAAGTCTAAAGTATAAAAGACAAGTGACAAATCTTTCCTTCTTTTGAACAAATACAAAATGATTAAATTAGAAAAAATGTTTTCCTCTTTATTTAATATATTGTTTCTTCATCTGAAATCAATATTTTTTCCAAGCTACAGTTATGTAAACTTTCAAAGGATGATGATGATGATTGACTGGTCATTTCCAAGTACACCTGTCTGTTAGAGTAGCTACATAATCCCTCTCGTAGACATCTGTCCAGATACATTTGTGTTTCATCAACACCATGAATTATTTATACTGCAAATATGCTGAGCAGACTTTAGTTACAGTTTCTGGGAAAGATTGCATAATCTGATGTGATCAATAGTTGAACAGATACACTTATACAAAACAGAAGTAACCTTTCATACATAAAATATTGTATTATTTTTTAACAAGATATAACACTAATATACTTATAAAAGTTCTATTATATAAGTAATGCTTGTGTTAATTTCTGATTAGTATCAAGCACATTTCCCCCCTTGCTAATTTTCAATGCACAACATTGTTTGAATTACTGGAATTTGTTCAAATTAATTTTACACAAAAAATTGCTAAATTCAGTGCTGATCCATTAATTTTCTATCTATTAGCAGAAATAGTTAATTTGCACAGATTAAGTACAAAAATTTAAATATCTAAGAAGTGTTTTAACCAAGAATGGAAAATACAACATACAATGGTGCATTGGAATAGCAAAAGATTAATTCCAAAAGCTAAGCAAAGTAGTAATAAGGAAAGATTTGTTAGAAAAAAAGAAGGGTGCTGAATTTTTATGTAATAATTTTTATCTTTCTCTATGGCAGTAAATGCTAAACAATCTCCTCACAGATGAAGAAGAGTTGAGGCAACAGAAATGCTGAGAATCCCATAGACTGAACATGTGAGTAATGAGGAAGTTTTAAAGAAAATGAAAACAAAAAGAGCATTTATACTTAGAATCAGAAAAAGTTAAAATTTCTAAGGCATAATGAGGAAAGAGAGTTTAGAAAATTTGACACTTACAAGGCATACTGAAGGCAAGAGGAAGTGAGGAAAACAGCAAATAACCTACATAACAAGCTTATGTAAATAGTTGACAGAACAGGGAGTAGGAAGGATAGAAAAAAAAAAGTTTATTAGGAGCTATAAAGGACAGAGAGTTCTGGAGAGACATAACTGTCTATGTCCTAAAGAGACACAACATATAGAATAAGAATAAAAGAAATTAATAACTGTAAAATCAGAGAGAAATCATAAAAAAAATGAAACTTTGCATTGGTTTAAATGTGCTTAGCACTAAAAGTATAATCAGGATTATTGTTTCTTTTCTGATCTCCTGCCAGCAGCATTTGCTGTGCTACATATATATATATATATATATATATATATATATATATATATAATCATTAGTATGAAATAGTTTTCATTTAAAATAAACCCCACCTAATAATCTTACACTTACAGGTTGCATAAATAGTGAATAATAAAAACAATAGGGGTAATATCAATGAGACAAACAAATCAAAAATTAAACTTACTCTATGCCAAGAGACAAAAAATAAATGATCTGTAAGACATGTTTAATTTAGCCATATGTTTATAGCCAGGCATTAATAACAGTTGTGTCAACTGCACTCTTCTGGTTATATAGGTTCCAGAGAACAGAATGATACTGACAGTTCAACCAAATAACCCTTAAAGCAATCAGAGTCCCTCTTTACTATATCCCATTTTATATAACTTTTTACCCACTCCCACACATTAAAAATAAAATTCTCAGACCATATTATTTTTTCTTTTTTATAACATGTTGGTTTGGCTGGTGGAGTGGATGATTTGTTTGGAAATCTGAGCACTCCTTGTCTAAATCAAATCTATCACAACCAAATTGGAAGAGAGAAGTAGGAGGGGGGGGGATATTACCAGTAAAGAGATGGATTGCAAAAACTGAGTGAGTAGTGTAGGAATCTTAGGGATGCCAATCCAAAATATAAATAAAACACAGCAATTATTTCAAGTTCCACTCCAGTAAAACAATATGTAAATGCTACTTTCTTCAAATTTTTTTTATTTATCTTAAATTACAATGAAGTAGCTTTCAATCTCGTGTGAGAAATATGCATTTTTAAGAATGGATATGAATTCTCTTTATGGTTCTCTTTATAATTACCCATGATACTAATAATATCTTGAATTTTATTATGAGATGAAGTATTGTCAATCATTATTAATTTTTAACTAGCATTTCATCTTAATAATGGCTGTAGAATGTTGGTCTGAGTAATTGTGATGGAAAGCAATTTAAATTAAAACAAAACAAAAATTACTCAAAAGTAGTGGTTGAGAAATATATAAATTGATATTATTTCACAAATGAATGCAACAAAAATCTTTATATAGAGACATAAAGATGGCTTATAGAATGTCCAACATCATTTACTTGGGTTTTTTCCCATAGTTTTTGGAAGGAAAATGTCTAATTGTAACCATCATAGTCACCATCCAAGGACAGATCAATAAGTTCATAACCACACACAATTTTGAACTAAAAATTTAATTGTATAATATTTGGTCTATATGATTGATTAATATTCACCACTAAGTGAATTAAGTGACTTGACAAGGAATGAGATTATGTTGAAATATATTTGTTGTGAAAATAAAATGTTTTTTTTCATTATTAGGCAGAATATATGTATATTTATATTTTTGTGTTAAAATATAAAAAATAAAAATATGTAAAAGCCAGAAAATAGTCAAACATGCATAAACATTTCATTGAAATGCGTTTGAAACAAACATTCTATTTTTGTCATTTCTTACACATGACAAAAGTATTTGCAAAGTGAGCTGCAATTAAAAAAAACTCAATTGTATATTAATCTTATTGTTATCTTACCAAAAATACTTATAAAGTACTGAGATTATAGTCAAGTAGTTTTATATAACTTTATAAGCTGTTGGATTCAAAGTGTTTCATAAAATTATTACAATGACTAATGACGTCAGGTCAATAAAGAACTTAATGTTATAAATGCATGCTTGCTTTTTGTTGTTGTTTTTATACAAAATAAGTGAGAACTCACAAACTGAAGTTTCTGAACAAAGTTGTCAATAATAAAACCTCTGTTAATCTAATATCAAAAGTAATACACCATAGATTCAAGTGAATGAATCCTGTGGGTCTTGAAGAGAACAGTCCTTCATCAGATCTCAAACTGACACTACAGAATCACAAAAAACTTTACCAAATAACAAAAACCACAACAGTTGAAAATTTTAAATAGTAGAAACAACTAAAATGAATAGCAAGAGAAAATAATAGCGTAATCAAGATGTTGAATTTTCACACTACATTAAACAAAAGGTTAGGAAGGAAAGCACAATAAATACTAGAAAAGTGATTAATAGGTTTGAGAAAACTATTTTCCTGAAAAAAACTGTTTTAAGAAAAATATTTTATAAATTTCAA